CACCAGCATCGCAGCGCGCACACTTAACCACCAAGCCACAGGGCCGGCCCCGTTCTCTTATGTTATCAGTAATCTTTCTGGCCTTCAGCTTCCAGGTCTGTAAAACTGACCAAACATTCCATCTTGGATGGGATGTCAGGGGTTCCCATGAGACCAGACATGTAAAGCCCTGAGTACAGGGCCTGATGTGTAGTAAGTGCATCAGATGCAGTACAATCATCTTATTGTACGGGGCCAGGGAGCATTCTCGAGAGCCTGGAGGCCTGGGGAGGGGTGGGATACCCTGCTGACACTCCGTCTCCCCTTCCAGGTTTCAGGGCCAGGAGTGGATGCAGTCAAATGGGCGTGGCCGCTTCTCTCTTGACTTCTTCAAGTTCCAGGCAGTGCCTGTAGAGGCTGTCGATGCCAGTGGCTGTGCCATCAACTACCAAGGCCTGGACAACCTCTGTGAGTGGGGTGGGGCGGCATGGAGATGGGCTAGGCTCTGCGTTTTCCCTTTTGTGGTGGGCTCCAGAAGGGCCCTCGGTGCCATCCGCCCTCTCCCCCTACAGTGGCCCTGAAGGAACTCCAGTCCCTGTCTCTGCAGCGCTGTCCCCACGTGGATGACTGGTGTCTCAGCCGCCTCCACCAGCTGGCTGGCTCACTGCAGGAGCTCTCACTGGCCGGTTGCCCTCAAGTCTCTGAGCGGGGCCTCGCCTGCCTCCACCACCTCCAGTGAGACCTCAGCACAGGCTGGGCCCCAAGCCGGGGGCGGGGGCACTGCTGGGTGGTTCCCTGTATCCCCTGCCTCCATGACAGACCTCGAGTGTAGGTCCTAGGTCAGCACGGATGAGCAGTCGCAGGGAATCTCTGGGAGAGTGGAAGGACTCCTAGTTTTTCTTCCTTTTTGTTTTAATGAAAACTCCATGATATTTACACTGCTGCAGAACAGTAGGAGCCAGAGGTGTCTGTTTGTAACTGACACAGTGGATTTCATGTACTTGGACAGTTGAAGATTTATTTTAGGAAGCTAGGGGTTGAAGTGGGGACTGGTGCACCCCCTCCTCACACTCACACACAGATGCCATCCTCACGCGGGCCTCCCCTCTTCTTGCCTCCTCTCAGGAAGCTCCGCAGGCTGGACATCTCAGACCTCCCTGCCGTGTCCAACCCGGGCCTCACTCGGATCTTAGTGGAGGAGATGCTGCCCAACTGCGAGGTTCTGGGGGCTGACTGGGCCCAGGGCCTGAAACTGGGGCCCGAGGAGCAATCTTAGGACTCAGCCAGCCCCATCCCTGCCCCCCTCCATCAAGCTGGATCTCAGCTGGCCTCTGCCAGTGTCTGACAGTTCTCCATACTTCTGGCTTTCAACTGGGTTCACTCCACGTGGGGGTCGGGGTGGGATGAGGGGTGTGGCACTGGCAGGTCAGGGGGAAGGAGAGCATGAGGTTGGGGGCCCCACCTCGGGGGCTCTGGCTAGCTGTGCCCTGGGTGGAAGGTCACCGCTCCTGTCACCCTGTCAGGCAGCCCTTCCTACACTCTCCTCTCCTTCCCACTTCCAGTCACCTCCTCCTCTCGCCTCTTCAGGCCTAGGGAGGTCAGGGCTTGGCTGTAAGTAGCCCGGGGAGCTGCACTCGCTCTGGTGGTTTCCCCACGCCTTGCCCGCTGCTATGTCCAGAAACTCTTCTTTTGACTTTTGTCAACAGACTCCTCTCAAATTATCCTCATTTGAGTGTGCAGCTGTTTCCTCCTGGGACCCTGACTGATACGGGGGTGCTCCTGGCATTTTACAGTACGGTTCTTCCCTGTGTGGGTCGACTCAGCTCCCGTGGGGTGCAGCATCCTGGCCCACACTCACTCAATGCCGGTAGCACCCCAAGTCCCGTGGTGTTCCCACTTATCGATTTATGGACTCTATCAGCTCCAAATTCAACTTTCTTGTTTGCTCTGTGAAAACTGACCTGGGCCTTGGAAATATTTTTGCTTCGCTAACTGGCATGAGAAGGTTGTCAGTAGAGGGCGCTCGAGAGACAGTACAGGAGGAAAGGCTTTTGCTTCCTGGTTCTGATTAGGCGCGCTCGCTCAGGCTCCTGCAGTGTCTGTGTGGCTTCCCCAGCACCTGGCTCCTGAAGTGCCAGGTGGTCAGCAGCTTCCCCTGGCACTGCCCCCCAGGCAGTTTCATGGAGGAGTGCCTCCAGTGAGGTACCTCCCTGTGAATGACTCCACCACACCCCAGAAGGTGGATTTCCAGTAAATTCCAAGGCACCTTACCAGTGAATCCCTTGTTATTTCAGTTTGCTGTTAAAGTTAATAATTCTTCATATTAAACTTTCCCTGCTCAAATTACTGTGTGCTCAAATTACTGTGTGCTTTACCTCTCCTGATTGGATCCAGACTGACACAGCATTGGCATCTGGAGTGTTCCAGGAGAGACTCACAAAGGTGGGATTTGGGGCTTGGTTTGGTCCTGCCTTTGGCTTGAGCACAGTGCTGAGCTCCTTGGTGATGGGAAGGGATATCAGAAACCCAGGGCATGCAGTGGCATCACAATCAAGCTATCACCTGGGATCATCTGGTTGGACCCAGAGGAAACACATCTCAAACTCCCAAGTCACTGTGAGCCTCCCTTACCTATGTCTGAGGAGACCACCAGCCTTCCTGTGCTTGAAAACCCTGTGATGGCCTCACCTGAGGCAGATGCCTTGCAAGGGGGTGTCTGTTCTTCTTGAGACTCATCACAGGCACCCCCTGCTGTCACTAGACCCATAAATACCTCGGGTCAAATTTCAGCATGCTCCAGGGAACAGGTACTCACCAGCACCCAGGAGGGAACAGCTTAAACCCTGAAAGAATTGCAAGGCTTGCAATATGTATGGCAGAGACCTGGGGACCCCATGCAGGAGTGGGTTCTGAGGGTCTTAGACCAATGAGGGCAGATAGAACACTGGATGGGGCCAAGTTCACTGGTACGCGGGCACTTACTAGAGGCTCTGGCTATAATGAGTTAGCCAGTGGAGCAGGGGTGGTTCTGACTGCTTTTCTGGTTGGCTGACTGGAACTTGAACTCAACAGTGGCCTAGGGTTATCGAGGCGAAAAGCCAGAACCCTGGTGCAAACTGGAGAGGGGGATCCAAAGGCTTAGGGAGGCAGGAATGTTGGGTTGGGCTGATCATGTTCCACCCGCACATCCACCTCCACCTCTGTTCCACAAGAAGGCACCTCTTGAATCTTTCTAGATATTCACCTTTCCCTGTTCCAATTGCTGTGTGGTTTCTCTCTCCTGATTGGCCCCAGAACAATGCACATAGCAACCAAAACTGTACCCTCTGGGAATTCCAACCTCCCCCAGGAGGGGCAGTGTCATCGCTGGTCAAGAACCTCTGCACCCCTAGAGAAGTGAGATGAGCCAGGACAGCTCAGGGGGCCTTGACGCCCTCTCCCAGCCCCAGGGGGAATGGGGAAGGGCGGGGGGTGGGGGGGGAGGATGGAAACCCCTCCAGGGGTACTCAGGCGCCTGCCCCCAGCCCCTCTAGCTTTTATTCCATTGGCATGCACCACTTCCTCTGAACTCTTCCTCCAGCTGCTCCCATGGGCTCCATTATTCAAACTTGGGGAGGGGGCGGGGCGGAATCAGCACCAGACAGATCATCAGCTGCTGCTGACAGACTGGGTTCCTGAGATGATCCGGACAGTCCCTCCCCACCCCGGGGGGGATGAAGGGGTCAGCCCAGGCTCAGTGGGGGACTCTTAGTCCCACCTCAGGTTCCAGAAGGTCTAGGATGAGGAGGCCCCACCTGCCCGCCTCCCCAGACAGCTGATGCAGCCCCAACAGCAGAGGCCTCAGGAGGGCAGGGGTGTAAACACAGGCAAACACCTCCTCTTCCCAGGGGGCCGGATGTGAGTGTTCCCGGAGTCACTGAGAAGCTGTGGGCGGGGCCAGGGCCCCAGGGCTCGGCTGGCCTGGGCTGGAGTAGGGAACCGGGTGGGGATGGATTCCCGTCCTGCAAGGCAGGCAGCCCATGCAAAGGGGATGGAAGAGATGCAGGGGTCAGTCCAGCTCCGAGAGCTCCCGGGGCCAGGACCCTGTCACCCTCTGTTGCCCTCTGGCTTGGCTCCCCCTCCACCTACCCCTTCCTCATCCATCTCATCCTCTCCCACTCCTTCCTGGCTCCCTTCCCTGCCTCTCCGAGGGTGGCTCTCTGTTCGCAGACTCCCTCCTCTCTGCCCCAACCCTCCACCTGCCTCTCCAGATCTCTCTTCCTCTCTACCCTCCCTCCCCCATGGGGGCTTCCCGGCCACCCCCGATCTCTTGCTCACTGTCTCCACTCCCCTCCTCCTCTTCTGTCTCCACCTTCCCTGTCCTCGCCATCTCTCTCCCTGCAGCTCTCTCCTCTTTGCCCCCCTGAGTCTCCATCTCCTATCTCTCCTCTCTCTTCTCCCTGCCTGCCCCTAAGGTCTCCCTGGCTGTCCCTCCTTCTCTACAATGTCTGTCTCTGTTTGTTTCTCCTCCTCCTCCTCCTCATCAGCCTCCTTCCCCACCCCCACCCTGACTCTGGGCAGCCACAACACTCTCCCCCGCCATATCTGGCAGGACTGACCCATTCCCTCTCAGCACTTTCACCACCACCTCCTCCCGCGGCCAGGCGCCAGCCCCTCGCCTCCAGGCTTTGCCACTTTAGGACTCTGCCTGTCCCTGGGCCATTCTGACACCACCCAGCCCACTGGGCCCTCAGCCTCACCCTCCCTCAGACTTTCTCTCAGGCCCCTGGTTCTCCCTCCTGGAGCCTCTCTGGGTCCCCCGTCTGTCTCTGCAGCCACCCCTGCATTTTTCCCACTGTCTCACCAGAAAACCAGCCATAACATGCCAAAGCCCCAGCTCTCAGATTTGCCTCTTCCCCTCCTCCTCCCTCCCCTCCTCCCTCAGCCCCGCCCAAGCCCCTCCCGGCCCCTGGGGCCCTCCCAGCCTCCTGCTCCCCTCCCCTCCCCGCCCCTCTGGACTGGCTGGGCTGGGCTGAAGAACAACGACTTCACCACCGCGCGGACTAGGGCAGAAGGGCGGGAGCCGAGGGAGGGCTGGACCAGAAGCCCTGGGGTGCCAGAGCTGGCGGGAGCCGGACCCAGAGGTAAAGAGGAGGGAGCAGATCCCTGGTTCCCCGGTCCCTGGGGTGGGGACTGTGGGGGCAAGGGAGGCTGGGTTTCTACGGAGGTGAAAGGAGCTGACCCCAGTGATCCTGACTCCTGGTGAGGGGGATGAACTGGGGAGTGGAGGGGATTGGAATGGCAGAGTCCCTGGTGCCTGGGGTGGGGTGGGAAATAGGTAGACCTCCAGGGTTTCTAGGAAGGTGGAAGGAGTGGGGCTGAGAGTGGAAAGAGCAGGGTGTTGGAATGGGGTTGGAGCAAGGATTCCTAGGTCTAGGAACAGGGAAGAGTTGGGTCCTCGGCTGAGGGGTGGTTTAGGGTCTGGGAGTGAGAGAAGCCATTACAGGCGTTGGCGGGGACTGTGGGGGCCCTCCCCACACCCCAAAGGCCTCTGTGGCTCCTTTGCAGCTTCTGTAGCCACCCGTCCCTGGGCCAGGTCATGCGCTGCCCCAAATGCCTTCTCTGCCTGTCAGCGCTGCTCACGCTTTTGGGCCTCAAAGTGTACATCGAGTGGACTGCCGAGTCTCGGCTTAGCAAGGCCTACCCAGGACCCCGGGGCACCCCGCCAGGCCCCACTCCATCCAGCCCTGAGCCCACCCTGCCGGCTAACCTCTCAGCCCGTCTGGGTCAGACTGGCCCACTGCCCTCGGCTTACTGGAACATGCAACAGTGGCGGCTGGGGGCCCTGCCCAGTGGGGACAGTGCTGAGGCGGGGGACTGCCGGGCTTGGGGGGCTGCTGCTGCTGCCGAGATCCCCGACTTCGCCTCCTACCCTGAGGACCTCCGCCGCTTCCTGCTGTCAGCAGCCTGCCGAAGCTTCCCACGGTGGCTCCCTGAAGGTGGCAGTGGCCAAGTGGCCAGCTGCACAGATATGGATGTTCCGTACCTGCTGTTGGCTGTCAAGTCGGAACCAGGGCGTTTTGCAGAACGGCAGGCTGTGAGGGAGACATGGGGTGGTCCGGCTCCCGGTATCCGGCTGCTTTTCCTGCTGGGGTCCCCAGCAGGTGACAGGGGGCCTGACCTAGGCTCCTTGGTGGCCTGGGAGAGCCACCGCTACAGTGACCTGCTGCTCTGGGACTTCCTTGATGTCCCCTTCAACCAGACGCTCAAGGACCTGCTACTGCTGGCCTGGCTGGACCGCCACTGCCCCGGCGTGAGCTTTGTCCTACAAGCTCAGGATGACGCCTTCGTGCACACCCCTGCCCTGCTGGACCACCTGCGGGCCCTGCCACCCAGCTGGGCCCGAGGCCTCTACCTGGGTGAGGTCTTCACCCAGGCCAAGCCCCTCCGGAAGCCTGGAGGACCCTTCTACGTGCCCGGGTCCTTCTTTGAAGGTGGCTACCCGGCCTATGCAAGTGGCGGTGGCTATGTCATCGCTGGGCGCCTGGCACCCTGGCTGCTGCAGGCAGCAGCCCGTGTGGCCCCCTTCCCCTTCGACGACGTCTACACCGGCCTGTGCTTCCGTGCCCTGGGCCTGGTGCCCAGGGCTCACAAAGGCTTCCTCACAGCCTGGCCAGCAGACCGTACCGCTGACCCCTGTGCTCTCCGAGACCTGCTGCTGGTGCGGCCCCTTGGCCCCCAGGACAGCATCCAGCTCTGGAAACAGCTGTGGGACCCTCAACTCCAATGCTGAGCCCTCTGGCCTGGGCCCTGGGTGGGGCCTCTGTGCCTGCCCCTTGCTCAGCCTCTCCTTCTAGGCTTTGGTGTGAGGAAGGAGATCCTAGAATTGCACAGCCTGAGTCCCTCCTGGGCCCCCCCAGGCCAGGGGACTGGGCAGCAAGAAGAGGCAGACTATTTTTGTCTTACTTTTTGTTTTTGAAAAATATGCACTGCCTGCTCTGAGGCCTAGAGTTGTTTTTGCACCTGAGGGGCCCCAGAGAAGTTTAGAGAGCAGAATTCAGCCACACCCTGAGCTTCACACTCAACACCCTCCCCACCCTGACTGGGCAGGGCCAGCTCCAATGGCCTACTGGTCACCTTGCTGGACACCAGGCTTGCCCCGTGCTATGGGAGAGCAGGAGACCATCTGTGGAGGATCCCCCACATCCTATCTTCTGAGGCTGACTCTCCAGCTTGCGCAAGTTTCTGGGGGAAGCAGATATTTCAACGGCTTTGGCCGCATTTATCTAAAGTGCAGAAGCAGGGAGTGGTCCCAAACCAGTCGTTCTGGACTCTCTTCTCACGTCCAAAACTCCAGGAAACAGAAACCGGAGGTGGCACAGAGCCAAATGCAGAGACACAGTTTATTCACTAGCTGCTGACCGCCTCTCACTCTGAGAAAGTTCCACAGGCTGACCTGCCACACCCAGCCCCAGCCCAGAGGGGCTTCCAGTCCTGGAGGCGCCCTCGCCCAGCTCCGGGGGAGAAGGCACTGTAACAACAGGTGAAGAGGGGGCTGACAGAGCCCCCTCCCCAATGTAACAGCCTGGAGGAGCAGGGCCGGTGAGGGGAGCCACCCCCTGTTACCGTCTTGGGCACTGCCCTGGCCCCTGAGTATTTTGGAGGGAGCTGGCTGGGGAACGGGGGGAGCATCATGCAGCTCCCTCCACCCCTCAGCGTGGGGCTGCCTCTCAGCGTAGTTGAGGTGGGTGGGGGTGGGTGAGCAGGCCTCACTTCTCGAAGTGGTCCAGAGGGTAGTGCTCGCCGTAGGTCTGGAGGTGACGGGCCAGAGACTCCTGCTGCTTGCGCAGCTGGGCGGGCATCTCCTGATACACGTCTGAGAAGAGCAGGCTGGGGTTGGGCTTCAGCTTCCTCTCGGCCTGCTCAAAGGCCTCCATCACCTGGGGGAGACGGGACGGTGAGCAGGCAGTCGGCCTCCCACCCAGGGCCCCGCTTCCTACCTGTGGGGCCTCAGCAAGGGGTTAACCCCCAAGCCTTTGTTCCCATCTGGACAGTGGGGATGATCATCATAACAGTGGTGAAACTAACACCCCACGTCAGCATCCCCCAAACCCCAGCCTCTCCATCCTTAGCAGGACCAGGCACTGTACTAAGTGTATGGAATCATTTCAGCTTCTCAGCAGCCCTAAGCAGCAGGCAGCTTAGACATGAGGAAACCGTGGGCCGGCCCCATGGCTTAGTGGTTAAGTGCGCGTGCTCCGCTGCTGGCAGCCTGGGTTCGGATCCTGGGTGCACACCGACGCGCCACTTCTCCGGCCAGGCTGAGGCCGCATCCCACATACAGCAACTAGAGAGATGTGCAGCTATGACATACAACTATCTACTGGGGCTTTGGGGTAAAAAATAAATAAATAAATAAAATTAAGAAATGAGGAAACCGAGGCACAGAGAAGGGACGTGCCCACAATGATGTTGTTAGGGGCCGCAGCATCTTCCTGACGCCAGGGTCTGCCCTTGCCACTGGGCTGCACTGCCTCTGGCTATGATGACAGGGCTGAGGAGGGAAGCACACTGACTCTTACACTGCACGCGGATTAAGTCACCTAATCCTCAAACAACCTTCTGGAACGGGTACCCCAGTATCCCTCTTCAGAGATGAGGGAGCAGAGGGCAGACATGGTGCCAAGGCCACAGAGCTAGGACATGGCAGAGGGGCATGTGCCCAGGCACCCTGGCCGCTTAGAGACATCATTGGGGTTATCTTCGAGTCTCCCAGTTCAGTGTCCCCCAAACCTCAGCCTCTCCATCCTTCTGGGGTTCTCCACGATGCCCCACCCCAGAACATGCCCTCTGGGGCATCGGTTTCTCAGAGGGAGGCCCTCACCTTCTTGCGGGACTGCTTCCTCCAGGCCTTCTCCTGCTCATCGTCCCACCAGCCACAGCTCTGCAGGTAGTGCCTCAGCCGGGAGATGGGGTGGTCCTGCTTGTCCCAGTAACTGACCTCATCCACCGAGCGGTATGCGGAGCTATCATCACTGGTGCTGTGGTGCCCAATCCTGTCGAGGGGGAGGGGCCCAGGGTCAGCTTGGGGTCCCTGGGGTAGGGGTCAGGAGGGAGGAGGGTAGACGAGGGAGAAGGGATAGAAATGGAATAAAGGCAAGGAAGGGGATACAACATGGGGCCATGGGGTCATGCTTTGGGGACACTGACCAGTGTGGGGGAGATGCTCAAGATGGTGGCTGTCAAGGCTGGGGGAGACAGAGAGAGGGAGGCAGGCACCTGTAGGTCATGGCCTCGATGAGGAAGGGCTGGTTCTCTGCCACGGCGCGCCGCCGGGCCTCCTTGGTGGCATTGTATACAGCAAACACATCATTGCCGTCCACGCGGATTGACATGATGCCGTACCCAGGGCCTCGAGCCGCTGTGGGGACAGAGAGAAGGCAGGTCAGACCCCAGGGCTCAGATGAGGGTGATGAGCAGGGGGTGGGGAGAGAGGGAAGGGAGGACAGGAGAGCAAATGGCAGCGCTCAGTTCACTGTCTCTGTGACCTACCTTGCGCCAGACGCCACGGGGTGGCGGGGGTGGGGGGGGCAGGGGAGGGACACGAAGCAGGCAGGGCCCATACCGATGCCATCCCCGCGGTACTGCTCGGAGGTGGGCGTGGAGATGGCATAGCCATTGTTCCGGCAGAAGAAGATGATGGGGCACTCAAGGGTGGCGGCGAAGTTGAAACCGGCGTGGGCGTCCCCCTCGCTGGCCGCCCCCTCCCCGAAATAACAGATGACAACCCTGTTGGCGTTGGCCCGCTTGGCCGCGTAGGCTGCCCCCACCGCTGCAGGGAGAGAGAGGGCAGTGAGCAGGAGCAGAGACACATACACACTGACCTCACACATTCACCCTACATACACACCCCTCACACTCACACATGCACCTCACACACTCACACACCTCATACACTCACCCACATGCCAACCCACGGCTCTGGGGCTCAGGCTGCCTGCTGCCGGGCTCTGACCTCCTGACTATCCCTGCAGAACCTGTGCCCCCCAGTCTTCTCCCTTCAGCTGATGGCAGCTCTGTCCTCCCAACTGCTCAGGCCAAAATCTTCGGCATCATCTCTGACTCCTAACTTTCTGTCATTCCCCACACCTACTCCACCTTCAAAACAGAGCCAGAACCTGATCCCTCCTCACCTCACCCCGGTCATGCATTGGCACCTCTTGCCCCAGTTCCTGAGCAGCCTCCTCACTGGCTCTTGCTCTCCCACCCCAATCCGGCAGCCAGAGGCCTCTTAAAATGTGAGTCAGGCCAAGTCATTCCACAGCGATGACTCCCCTCCCCCGCTCCCATTCCACTCTGGGTAAAAGTCAAAGTGCCTCCAGACCTGCACCCCTCCCCCACCTCTGACTTCTCTCCTCCACCACCCACCTCCACACCCGCCCCATGCGCTCCTCCCTGCACCTCAAACACATCAAACAGGCACCTGCCTCAAGATGGCTGCATGGCTCCTTCACCTGGTCTGTACTACAATGTCACCCACCTTCCCCCTCAACACACTACTCCCTCGCAGCTTTATTTTTCCCTGTGGGATTTATCACCCCTGACATACTCTATGTTACTCCTCCATCTTGCTTATTGTCTGTCTCCCCCACCACAATGTGAGCCCCAGGAGAGCTGAGGGTTTTGTCTGTCTCTTGGTTCATCGTGCCTAGAATGGCACCCAGCACACAGCATGGACTCTGGACATCTGCTGAATGAGTGATTTAATGGTCACCCAAATGGAAGGTTTAGAGCCAGGGCCCCACCTTGTAGAAATCCTACCTACCTTCAGCAAAAATGGCACCTCCTCCCAGAAAGCTGTTCTCCCACCTCAGAGGCATGAACGCTCCTTGTTCCCAAACGAACACTATGAGCAAACGTGCATGGGGCCTTACATCGTGCCAGGCGCTCTGACCACCAACTCATGTCTTGGCTGCCCGGGAGCAGAGGGTGCCGGAGCCCACACTGACCTCAACCAACTGCAGGCGGCAGAGGGCAGGGAGGGATGGCCGGCTCCAGGGTCTCCGTGCTGTGTGGGCACAGGCCTGGCCCCTGGTGGGTCTGCTTTCCAAGCAGTCACCTCTATTTGAAACCACACCGACTGCTCTAAGCATTGTGGGCTTCCCGAGTAAGCTTCAGGGGACTTGGACTCCAAGGACCAAGGCAGAGCAGGGTCAGGGTCCAGAACCTGGACTCTGTAGCCACACGGCCCACGACTGAAGTCCCTGCTCTTTTCACTACCTGCCGGGTGACCCTTAGCAAGGAACCTGGCATACACTCAGTCACATGCAGCTGGCTGTGTCTGCGCGTGGACAAATGGGGTGGCGCAAGTATGGGAAATCAAGAGTGTGGTCATGCCGGCTCAGGCCTGCCGAACAGGTGAGGACACCACCACAGCCCTCCTCTGAAGGGTCCCAGACAAGAGGTGTCTTGAAAGTCTGGAGCCCGGACCAGCACTCTGACCGGGTCACCAGCCAGGAAGCCTCGAGAAGGGATGGAGAAGGATTGGGGCCTGCACAGGGGTACTTCGTTGGTCTGTGTGAACCAGGCCCAGGGCATGCATCCTCACCCTGAGGGATCTGCGTGGCCAGTGGAGAGGAGATGGTGACAAAGTGGCGCTCCTTGCAGCCATAGTGGACGGGCATCTGGCGCCCCTTGCCCAGGTCGCTTACATTGCCATAGCACTGGGCCATGAACAGTTCCAGGGGGTAGTCCCGATACATCAGCACACCTGGGTGGGGAGGAGGAAGCAGTTAGCCTGGTGGGAGGTGCAGGGGGGCAGACCAACCCTGAGGGAGTCTCGGGGTAAGACCTTTCTTGCCTGGGGCCTCCGTTTCCCTATCTGTACAGTAAGGGAGCTGGACCAGAGCAGGGGAGGCAAATTCGGATGCTTACGGGAACAGACAGGTGCAAGAACCAGGTGGGTAGACCAGAAAGCACAGGCCTGTCTCAACAGGGAGGACAGTGTTCAGACCAACTGACTGCTGCCCAGGGAGGCCAGATGGTCCAGTTTTTCAAAAAAAAAAAAAAAAAAAAAAGGCAGAAATCTAGCTTGCTTTTTTTTTTTAAATGATTTTAAGTGTTTCAACTAATTCAATTACTTAAAAAAATCACCATATGAACCAAATAAAAGTACAAGCCACTAGCTTACAACTTCCAGACTACAGAGGAAACATTCAAATCTGTTATGACAGTAAAACCCTTTCTTCACACAAAACCCCTGGTGGATGCCCACCTCACCATCAAAGGGAACCCCAAGACTGAACCTCTCTGACCGGGCTTCCACCTGGCTCTGACAGGTAACTGTGACGTAAATCTCACATGGCCGATGGGTTCCCTGAGGCAGCACAATCTGGTGGGACCTTGGGCAGGGACCTCAGCTCTGCTGTGAGGGGAAATGAGACAGAGCCTCCACCGCTTCCAGCATTGAGAACAGCATCTTGGTGTTCAAGAGATGTGGGAGTGCTAGCTATTGTTCTGAGTACCCTCATTCTCCCCATGCCACAGGTGGGAGACTGAGAGTCAGCGAGTCAGGGCGAGGGTGTGGGGTCTGACTCACGTCCTTACTCTGCACAAGCACCCTCTGCAGCTGCCCAGATGCAGGGCCTTCTGCTGACTCTCAGTGCAGGAGGGCTCACCCCTATGGAGGCGGCCAGCCAGGGCCCAAACACCCCTGTGTGGAGAGCCCGGC